ATGAAGGATTCAACATATCGAAGTATTTCAAGTTTGATTTCCAAATCTGTTCTTCAGCTTTTGCTACTCGTTTGTCTAGAATCAACATATCATGCCCTCCACAAAAAAGATGATTACCAAAATCCAGTGGGTTTATAAGGGGATCAACTACAACCATCCCTTGGTTTAACAGCAATTCTCTCTTAACTGATGCCTTTGAAGCATTATCATGTTCCATAGATAAATGATCAAAACTCATTGTATGTCAGTTTTGTTATTTTCAAGATAAAATTTTATTATTTTACAGATATCTACTTAGACACATTTCTTAACAGCATTCTTAGACTTTGAAGAAGTGTGCTCTAAGTTTTTCACTTTTTCACGGTGGGGGGAAAAAAAATTCCCTATACTTGGATTTAATTACAGAGGAGAAATTTAAGTGTTCAAAATCGTTTATGCTCCCAACATCCCTAAAATGGCATCCAGCTTTCTTTTGAAGTGCAAGTCATCTTTATTCTCAAATTGATTCCAGTTGGAAGAACCTATGCCAAGCTCCTCTTGGACACGGTCAAATTTAAATTTAACCTTTACCTTCAGTGCTTGGTATCTCTTCATGGTAATGGCAGATTTTCAACAATATTCCAGTGATCAGGTCTGTGGAGCTCATCTCCTCCCTCCTCCCACCCCAGCCCTTTAATCTTACTGAAGAAAATGAGAAAGAAAGTTGTCTTACCGAAAACTCCAAGGTTAATGTCCCCTGCGAACCCCACCTAGCAAGTCGACATCATGACATGTCAGGTCAGCCTCAACCACGCTTCCCTGATAGTCAGGTAAAAGGAAGGAGTTAAAATACAAAATTGACACTTGCAGATTTCTGGACATCAGAAAATGTGATGCAATATATTCTGAACTGTCTTTCAGAGCTTCTGGTAACCTCCAAGTTGTTAAAGTATTTCTTCACAGGGATTCTCCTGTTCTAAAATTTCAAAAGTTCCTGATCAATAATCCAATATTGCAGACCCACCTTCACCATTTTGTTTGAATGAGAACAAAAGCTTAAGATTTCCCTTTAACATGAATTTTTTTTCTCCCCTACTCTACACATTTTATCAACTAATATATGCTCCACTTAGCCAGCCTGGGTTTCAAAAGACATTTTAAGCCAATAGACTGTAATAGCTTCACTCAAATTCTAAGTTAACAGAAGCTCTAACTTTTTTATTTAGAAAAAACAGGAAACACAACTTGGTACGCTCTTTCTATAAGGCTCTGATCTACTTAATTAGTTCATGTGAATGACAGAACTCAATCTGGCAAACCTTGGTTGTAGAAGCAATCCTTAATCACTCAAGTACTCCAGCTCAAGTCATGCGTGATCAAAGACTATTCACGACCCATTTGTAGGACAGGGTCCTTGCTGTTCTACATATGTGCCACCATAATTTTTGGATAACAATTAAGTCCTGCTGAAAATACATACACCCACATTAGGGTCCACAGGTCTAGGTGTCAAACGTTTTACTAAGAGGTTTAAGACTTTTGCTGAGTACTTCACACTTATTTTTCTCCAGCCTTATAATAAGAGTGCCTTCTGTATTTTTTGTTGTGTAGTTCAAAATACAGAAATGGGCTTCATGTCCAAATGCACCAGGGACAAATATTGTCAGGTTTTTATATAAAGCCACCAAAATCTTGTGGTGATGTTCTACTTAAACAGTTTATTCTGAAAAGGTTTAAGCAATGTAGCTGTCATTCTTTAATAATTAGACTACAGAAGCTGAGTCCTGAAAATAAACAATTGCTACAAAACCCTAAAACTTTAAAGCTTTGAAAAAATGCAGACTGTTTAATGAATTAGTAAAATTAAAAGCTGTGTTTAGTAAACTGACGGTTAATAATGTGAAAGGAAGACTATAATCACACAATTGCTGTAAAAATCTTTTGCTCGAGTTTTGAAATTTCTAGGAATCTGGCAATCTACTACTTATTTTTAAGTCAAACACCTTATTAATACAGACAATTTAAGCAACTGCTATAAATGAGTGATCAAATGATTATTAAAATCCCATTTCATGGCTCCTCCTCCAACGCCAGCAGGACACTCATAAAAATTTAATATAGGTTTGGAAGTTGAAATCCATTTTCAACATATTCTATAAAAGGATTGTTTTGAAGTTATACTGAAGAAATGATCAAAACAGATGCACAAGAGTAAATTTAAATTTATTTTTGTTTTGACTATATATCAAAATTGTGCTGAGTAGATAGTGCAAAATTCTTCTCTTGAGTATCTGTCATCAGGCATGGTAGATTTTCCCACTGTGCTACAGTATCTTTGTTCAATAATTTTGTTAAATTCTTCAGGTTCAGTATATACCACTACTTGAGTTAAGTTGTAGTACACATTATCTTTACGGATTCAGTAAAGCACTGCTGCAAATTTAAATGGTGAATATGAGTATCCATAAATCATGTAAATCAAAGAACTTGGTATATCTTGTAAATACCAACTTTACTGATTTTAATTTTCAATTATAAAAATGTATAGCTCACTTCTCATATTCAATAAAAATATTAGGATAAGTGGTGATTTGGGTAGAAATAAATACAAGATGCAACTTTACAATTCTCAAGGAAGACAATTTTAACATTTTTGTTCCTTAGTTGTTTTGTAAACATTATAATCAAAGCGTTTCACTTCCTCCCCAGACCCCCATAAGCATGCACTGGCACTTCACCTGTCCTGGGCTAACACTTGAAATGTGCAGTACGTGAATACGCTCTTTCTCCCAGGATAGAGAGTACTTTAAATTTGATTCCAATTAAGCTTACTTATACCAGATCCCCTTTACAATGATTACTGAAAAGCAAATACTTATCAGGACTACAGGGTTCTGCTCAGCACCACAAAAGCTATATAATTACTATACAGTCATATTGACAGGACAGCAAATCCTTGTATTAAAACAAAATTACAAGCCAGATCCTTACCACAAGCAAAAGCCTGAAACATATACCCAGGCAATACCCCTCTGACTTCACTGCTCAAGTAAGGAACAGAGAGGACAGGATTTGGCCCCATTTACTTCATGAAGTTTAAAAAAAAAAAAAAAAAAAAAGGCTTTAAACATACTAAATACTAATTTTGAAAAGCACTTTAAATTATTTATGACTAATTCTACTAATTTGAAAGGAAGAGCCTGACACAGGGGCAAACCCATTTTCAAGAACCAGATATACATCCTCGCTTCAATTCAGGTCAAAACTCAAACCATGCGATCATATACCAGACCCACGACAGTAAAGCGTGAGAAGGCTCATTTTCTGTTTACATTCTGACATAACACACTTGCAAGACACCAGACAGGAATAGAAGACAAAGGGAGGAGTATGACCACTGAAGTTTAACTTCCTTAATAGTCTGTGTTTAGAATGCTGTAAATCAATGAGCAATGTATTTGATTTGGATATTTAGAGGTACGGCAATAGTTTTCTTTAGAGAAAGTTTAAATCCGTTTGTTTCTCTCTTTTCTTGAGAAGCAAATGTTCTTCATTGGGGCAGAGAATGGCTCAGATGCAACAGAAGAGTAATGTCATGACTTGCCAGTTAAAATTGACATCTGGGAAAGTCCAAGACAAGGGTCAAAGCAACACATAATACCCCAATAATGTAGCTAGTAATGCCCCCAAAAGATACTAAAGGGTTTGGTTTTGTTTTTTTTTTTAACAGCCTTTATTACAAGGCATGAGAATTCTAAGGCAAATTGTTCATCATGGCAGAACATCAAATGAAAACATCAAGACAGAAATAAGCAGAATATGGAGAGTATGTTTGTGTTATCTGTAGCAAGAAGTTAAGTTTACTGTGCCACAGCACCTAATTTATAATTCTTATTTGTAGTGAAATATTATCTTAAGTTAGACTGAGATGCTCGAGATCAAAACCATTTCTCTACGTGTTGGTACACTGAATAATACAATATGGCTGGATCCTAACGGAAGAGCCTCTAGAGGGACTCCACAGTGCATAATCAAAAGGAACAAAATTAACACCATTGTAGGCTCTGCTTCCTTCTCCACGTTACATTAGAAGGTTATATTTAAATTAGATCTCTGTGAATGTTTGGATACATTTCAACACTTTTCAAAGAAAAAAAGAGTTTCAAAATTAGATGCTGGTAAGTTACTGAACAGCAATTAAACAAAAAGTGCCCTCTGGGCTATCTGTAATTTCTCCTACTTTTCAGTCTGATGTCCACAGTGCTACATGTTGGAAAGCACAAGAAATTTTGTATGAATTTGATCACTCACATAGGCAGTTATACTTTGAAAACAATGTTTTTCGCAAGAATTACCAATGAAATAATGTTTTAGGACACAATTGAATTTGAAATAGGTAATGTTTTGAATAGATTTTTGAGTTTTATTGAAATCTTACATGAACAAGAAATTGGAAATACAATCACATCAAGGAACAAATTGCCACGGCTTTGACGTTTTAAGCCAAACAAATTTTGTAGGGCAGATTTTCAAAAAGGTGTGAAGTTATAACAATTTAAAAACACAGTTAACCTACTTCTAGGAATGCAAAACATACAATCATGTTATTTTCAATACAAGAGAACTTAATTTGTTGTAATTTCTTAAAACTACTAAGACAAAGCACTAGCTTTTACTTTTATGTACAGCATACTCCTACGTAGTCTATCTCAAATAAAAAAAAAAAAAAAAAAAAAAA